CACCTCCCACACCTCCTCTCCAATAGGCACGCCCACCACAGTAAGACCCTCATCCATCTGCTGTATCCCCAATGGCAGTGCCCTCTCCACCTCCCTGTCCTCGCGCTCCGAAAACCGGCACTTGTGCGCCTGCACCTCCAGCCCCACCCACTCCAACCGCTCCCGCAACACCCCAGAAGCCTCCAGAATCCTAGCCGCTGGCCCCAAAATATAGGTATCGTCTGCATAGCTGAGGAAAAGCAGGTCCCCGAACTCCCTAGTAACCGGATCCATCATCTGCTGCTGCGTGAACGCGAAAAGAAAAGGGCCGAGCGGGTCCCCCTGCCTCGATCCACGTGCCGACTCGAGGCTCTGTACGAAAGGGCCTTCTCGGAGGTACAGGTCGCTAGGTGTCCCATAGAAAACACGCAAGAATGGGATCATAACTGAGAAAGGCGACTCCCGCAGCCCATCGAACATCGCATGACGGTGAAACAAATTGAAGGCGTTTGCGACGTCTATCTGTAGCGCACACCGGTCGGGGTGAGTGGCCAGCGCTGACCGGAAAGAATGAGTGAGAATCTCCACCCTGACCCTGGTGCCCGCTCCCAGCTGGTTGCACAGCAGGAAGTAGGAAACCATCGCAGGGCGGAGCGAGATGCAGAGAGCTCGAGCAAGGATACGAGGAAGCACCTCCCCGATCGCTACCGGCCAGACGTCGCCGTTAGGCTTGGAAAGCCCGACTAGGTTGGATGCGGCGAGCCACGGCCGAGCCCGCTCGGGGACCTGTCCCACCACCCATTGGTTGAACACTTCCAACAGGTGGGAAAGGCAGGAAGGTTCAGTGAGGAAGGTGTCGCGCAGATGCTCTGTGACCAACCCCGATGGCCCTGCTGCTGAAGCTCGGGCGGCTGTATGGATAGCTCTGGCCAGGATATCAGTCGTGAGGGAAGGCCGCTGAGCAGTATCGACGGTGAAATCGCGGATCCACTGTGGTACCTCGCCAGTGCTAGCCGGGTGCTTCTCTCGCAGCGACTGCACCATGGCCTCAGACGGTCGAGCCAACTCCCCTGCTGTAAGGCAAGCCAATTCACGGCTCCACTCCCCCATTTTGCACCAAGATCGGCATTGTGACAGGCGGATGGCATCCGGGTCCTGGTTAGAGCAAGTGTAAGAAAGTGGGCGAACTGCTGGCCGCACCGCCACCATGGCAGAGTCGAACAGCTCCCGCCACCTCCCCTCCCAGAACGCAGCCAACCGCTCGGTGATCAGCGCCTTCTGACTTATGCCTGGCTTGGGAGGCACGGCTAGGATGAGGCGCGGAAACGCCAAGAGTAGGAGGGTAGCGGCTTCATCTCCCAGTTGGCTCTTGAAGCGCTTTAGGATGCAACAGAGCACGTCTAAGACTCCCGACCTGGCCCGCTGTGGGATCCGGCGCACTGTCCTCCCTCCAACCGCCTCCACACTGAAAAATGTTTCCCATTCCCATGACGTAACCCCAGCCCACGCCTCGTCCCCAAATCCCCGCAGCGTCAGTCGCTCCTGCGTGTCGGAATCGAGCCGAGAGCCTGTGCACGCCTCTCCGCCTCAGCCGCCCGGCATACCCTCATGTGGTTCGCAGCGGCCCCTCGCGTAGCGAAAGTGTGGAAACACGTGTCACACGGAAAACAGGGGCATGGGGAAGGCGGCCTGGGAGGTTCTCCCAATGGTTGTTGACAAACAAAAGCAATCAATGATTTATACTAAACCACCAAAACAAAAGCAAACAGCCCACTGAAATAAAAGCTAGAAACATACTTGGAAATCCCAACTTTAACCATGTGAAATTAGTGGCAACATACTTGCCCACACATAATTCTATGGGCCATACTTGCTCGCGAACGCTCGTGGAGGCTCGTGATGTTTTGTGGCAACAGCTCATGACAACTCACGAAATCTCCTGAAAAGCGGGTAGTTACGCGACAAATTTACTAGGTCGTTAAATTCCTCCTTGCACATCACTCTTGCATCGAATTTAATCGCGCACTAAATCTCGGAACCTACAAAAAGAGCACGAACGAGCACGATCACATATGAACTCTCACAAACACCTTTCACAAAAATGATATAACTGAGGAACCATCAAGGCGATTCACGAACCGTAAATGCTCAAACGTGAAGCACACAAAGTCGCATCTCATAAACGATAGACTACCTTAACTCCAAATTGTATCGTTAGTTGAAAGTTGTAGGTGGTTGTTACGAACCACTCCAACAATCTCCCCTGCGGTTTGGCAACCATACACTCCACCATGCTCCCTTGCTCCTTAGCATCTAACTCAGCTCCACACTCCCCAATAGCTCCTGTTTTTTACGCCGCTGCTTACATGCCTTGAAATTGACTGCTTCAACATCCAAACTATGAAAAGTATTCGTCAGCCTTGCGCTCCTCCGGAGATGCTAAACGTCGATCAGTTTGTGGCCGTTAACCGGTGCCTCCGCCTTCAGCCTTTTGCACCTTTGCAGTTGCATTCTCCTTGCTTTGTGGCCTTTGCAGTTTCATCACCCTCACACTTCTCGATCAGAGTTCATCTTCAAGCATGATCGTTGCTGTATCAGTGTTGTTACACACCTCCTCTTCCAGCTCCACCGGTGCCTCCACTCTCGCATCTCCCATACCTTCAATCTTGCCACCTTCAACAAATAGCTCCTCTTCTTTTCCCGTCTCGATCTCATGGTCATTCTAAGGCTCATCCACGTCGTTCATGGATATCAGGCCCATCTCTTAGAGACGTCGTTGTAGTAACCGTCTGCGTACTTCTGCCAATCCTGGCCAAACATTGAGACCTTGCTGCTGTCGTAGAATATCTTGCACATTAATTCATCAAGCCGGGACTGGCTGATCAACCAGCTGTACGTTTTCCAGCTTCAATCCCTCATCAGGACTCTGTCGGATCTCGTCGCGTTCTCCTGTCACGGGTAACTTCTCATTATTTCCTTGCAGAATATAGCGCTCATTCGACTCCCTCAGATTCTCCATCCATTCCGACCTGTAGGTCATGTGACGAGTGCACCCGCTGTCCATGAACCATGTTTTGTTCTTTCTTTCATTTGTAGGCTTTGCCTATTTTGGTATGCGCATCACGTTCGCACGATACGGTCTCCCCAAAATAACGTCCTCTTTTTCATTTTCAGCATCCGCCACTTTCGCACGATGCTTCCGCGTTTACCTCAACTTTCTGCTGCTGCTGTTGCTGCAATGGTCCGTTGTAGTTGCGGCTGTTGGGACTTGAGTAGCAGTCGACTGCCCAATGACCAATCTTTTCTTGCAGTGGTGGCACGCACCACTAAACCTCCTTTTCTGCTGCACTCCACTCCATCCCGCACCACTTCCCTTGTAATATCTTGTTAGGTTCTCCAAGCACTCAAACGCCCAGTGCCCCATCTTTCCACACTGGAAACGCACTCCTAAGCTTCTTTCCGCATTTGTCCCATTCACCAACGCATGTTTCTCCTACTCCATGCCCTTCGCTATTTTCTCCCTTCACTGCTGATCCTCTCGTACTTGCTCCGATGTTTGGAGCATTGCAAGAAGCTTCGTCATGTTTTTAGGTGGGTTGCAGATCAACGCCGGCCTCTCACCCGACCAATCGTCTGGTAGTCCGTTAATGATGTGGCCCATCATCGCCCGCCCAGTTTCCGCCGCGCCCATTGCAGCTAGGTCGTCGTTTTAACTCTTAGCCACGTTGACATAGGCGATGATTCGTTGGTTCGGCTCAATAGTCATCAAAAGAAGCTTCTTCCTCACCGCGACTATATTCGCGTCCATGTGTCCGAGGTAAGTTGACTCCATGTACGCTTATGCCTCTTGTGCATAGTTATCGAGCTCTGCAAACTCATCCAAACCCACTACAATCCCGTCAGCAACCGAGTGACATAACTAAAAGAAGGCGTGCTTACCCCTTTTCTGATATTCCGCCTTTTTTTCATCCGTTTTTGCATCACACGCAGCTACATCGTCCTTTCCATCTGGTCGGTAATAATCCCAGAAGCCGACCTCCTTCGCCCTCCACATAAAATTCAAACCCCATGTGTTGTAGTTTTTCTCGTAGAAAGTTGGGCTTTGCTCGGCCCCATGGTGGGCTTGGTCACCACTGCTCCTCGCGCTGGCATTTCCAGAAGAGCCTTCACTTGAGGATCTTCAATACTCAGAGAGGAGCTCAAACTAGCCTCTGATTGTCCGCCGACCATCTCGAAAGCCTTGCTCTGCTCTTAAGAATGCTAAAACGCCATGTAAACCAGCTCTGATACCACTTGATGGTTTTTAATAGTCCTTAGTTTACTCTATGCACACCACTTAACTCACACTAAGTGATCTCCACCAGGCCACTAAGGTCAACGGTTTTCCGAGTGCATACGCACTGGAGTAGTCACAAATTTACATGCGCAGCGTCTTGTTGATCAATGATCTCGTCTCCAGAATACTCTTTACGTTAATACATTGAAAATGGAACCTTTTCTCATGAAAGATATATGATTCAAGCTTGTTGACAAACAAAAGAAAGCAATGGTTTAGCCCACCAAAACAAAAGCAAACAGCCCACCAAAATGATAGCTAGAAATATACTCCGAAATGCGAACTTTCACCATGTGAAATCAGTGGCAACATACTCTCCCACACAGAATTCTATGGGCCATACTTACTCGCAAACGCTCGTGGAGGCTCGTGGTGTTTAGTGGTGACAGCTCATGACAACTTGCGAAGTCCTCTGAAGAATTTTCAGCAGCCTCAACCATTGACTCCTCTTCCCCACCCTTCATGTGCTTCGTCCTCCCATGCAATTTGTCGTAGTCGACAACCAACAACCAACAACCGCGTTTGTTAACAACGAAACAGTAATCGTGGACGACGAAATTGATAAATATCGATTTGCGATGGCAGAGAAATGACATCGCGAGGAGCAGAAGGAATGGCGGGTGGGGCAAGCATGTGCGCGCAAGTGGGGCTTATAGCGGCCGCGACAGCAGCAGCGTCGCTGTGATCAGCACAGGCCAGAGTGGTGGTTGTCGCAGCACAGCGAAGTAGCGGTGGAAGCCTGGCCAGTCGCACGCCAATGCGCTGCGCCTGGGTTACTTCTTCTCCACCGCCACCGCTGCCACCTCCGCCGCCGGCGCCACCCTCGCCACTCCCGATGCGCGTACGCCCCTATCAATGTCCCTACCACCGCCACCGCCGGCTCCGCCTTCGCATGAGTCCGCGTAACTGTTTTGAGCTCCAGTAGAAGGGGGAGCGCAAATGGGGGCAGCAGTGGAGTGGGGAGGGGAGGCCCAATGAATGGGGGAGGGGAAAGGGGGGATGCTGGCGCGTATGGTTTGCGCAGAGTTTGAGGAGGGGCGGTTGGTGGGGCGTGGAGGGGCCGCGGAGGGGGGCTGGGAGGGAGGCAAGAGGGGAAGGAGTTCGAGGGAAAGGGGACAGATGCAAGGAAGAGAAAGGGAGGGGAGGAGGGGCAAAGAATGGGGAAGGAGGGGATGAAAAACGAGGGGAGAATGTGGGAGCCCGCGCTGGTCGCGCTACATCACCACCGCCACTCCCAACGCCGGTGGTACCGCTTCCGCCGCCATCCCCCTTGCGCGCGTGCGCCTCCACCGCCGCCACCGTGAGAGCTCGCCATCTCTACCAGGAAATCAGTTTGGCCGCCATTGTGAGGGGGAGCGCAGAGGCGCAGCAGTGATGGGCGAACGCGGGAAGGAAGAAGGGGAGGCAGAGCGCGGGAGGCGCGGAGTGGGGAAGGGGAAGGGGGGATGCTGGGCACGTGGCTTGGGTTTGGCGGAAACAAGGTGAGGGGCAGGAGAAGGGGGAGCAGCGAGCAGAGCAAGATGGGGGAGGAGGGCAAAAGGGGCAGGCGGAGGGCTGGGAAGGGCGGGAGAGAGGGAAGGGGCAGGATTTTGCTCCAGAAGCTTTAGAAGGGGCCAGGCGGGTGGGGGCGGGTAGCAGGGCATGAGCTTGGGAACTAGGAAAACCGCGGAGGGGGAGAGAGGGGACGGGTGTGGGTGAACCAAGCAACTTCGGAGAGGGAGGACGGGTGCGGGTGTGAGGCGGGGGAAGGAGAGGCAGACACCATAGCAGAAGCGAATGAGCCGGTGTGGCTATGGTGGGAGGAGTAGGGGAGATGGGAGGTATGGCAATGGTGGGAGGCATGGAGGAGATGGGAGGTATTGCGAGGATGGGTGTGCGAGGATATGTGTGCTTGCTCATGAGAAGAGGAGTCACGCGATAGGTGGAGCGTGAGAGGCTCCCCCTTGCACTACTAGCAGATGGGAGGGCGGGGGGAGGATGGGAGGGCGGTGGCACGATGGGAGGGCGGGGGGAGGATGGGAGGGCGGGGGAGGACGGGAGGGCGGGGGAAGTATGGGAGGGCGGGGGGACGATGGGAGGGCGGGGGGAGTGGCTGAAGCGGAGTGCAAGGGCACACATTTTCAGGAAGAGGCGTTTCTAGCTGTACCTTGGCGATTGCTCATATGCTCACAGCATCACACCCATCTCCCCCCTCACACCCGTGTACCCCCTCACACCCATCTCTCTCACATCTCTGCCCCCTCTAATTGTTCTTGAGACGGCTCAATAAACAGTTTTCTTTATCCATTTGGGCCGTGCAACACCCTGTTTGGGGCAAAATTGTTGTTCAGGATCTGTCACTTTGAGAGCTTACGATGAACTCATTACTCAACTAAACGCAAATCCGCTCAGTAGGAAAGTGCGCCTTAGGCTTAGCTACCATCCCCAATTTGAATCAGTCGTTAAGATGGTCTATAGAGTGAGAACCATGTAAAAACGTCCAGCCTGACTGGAATGGTAGAGGAAGTACAAACATTAGGGCATAGGAAGTTGGAGTTGGGGACTCCAAGAGAACCATGAGAGGGAAGGGGTTCTCCAAGAGCTAGGGAAGGATGGTAGGAACCTTCCTAGCAGCAAGGATGCAACCCTCATCATGAGGTCCTTGAGGTGTCACATGCAAAATCCAATCTAGTTGGATTTTGCTTAGGTGTTGCAGCATTTGCAACCCATTCTAGAAACTTATAGCCACCCCAATCCAAAAGTCAAGGTTGCCTTCCCTAACCACCCAACCAAAGATCCGTTTCTAGTCATGACCAAGTAATCACCCAAATTAGATATAACCCCAAAAGGTAATAAGAAATCCAAGTCTTGGAAATCTTGTAACTTGGGCGATCTTGGTCGGAATAAGGCGATATTGGTATCGTTGGAAAGCTCTGGATTTCTCCTGCATGATCAAGCATTTAAACTTGGAGAAAAACACAGAGACATTCAACAGCCATGCACAATGACATATGCTCATGCAAACAATGCACGCATGAATAGCACGAGCACTCGGCAAGACGTTAGGATGACATGCACTCAGAATGACGTGCATCCAACAAAAATACCTCCTCCCCCCTTCCATCCTCCCATCCCCCCATGCCCATCCCCATCCCACTATCTGCGCCACATCCCCCCTCCTCTTCTCGTGCGGAAGCAGGGAGCGATGCGGCGGCGTATGCTGGCAGGCTGTTTTGGGTTGAATGTGATTCCCCTTTCTCCCTTCCCCCACCTCTCTGGCCCACGTACCCCCCCTTGGCACAGGAAGCCTAACGTGTGATGCTGGCGCCTAACGTAGAGGAGGCGCCTGGGGAAGGTAAGAAGGGGAGAGAGAGGGGTAGATGGGGTAATTGATGGTAAGGGATGTGACGATTGCGATTAATACTTACATGCATGTCAAGTGTGCCAATTACGGGGCATGCTAAGTGTGTGGTGCCGGCCAATGTGCTGCGCCACCGGCGTCTGGGGCATCGGAGGTGAGGAGAGGAGGTTAAAAGGGTGGGCAAGAAAGGGGGTGAGGATGGTCGGAGGGTGATGAAGTGAGACATTCTTGAAAACTCTCGTTCAAAAGTTTCTCATTTCTGGGTCATGATGTGTACTCATTTATGTGAACTCTCAAAGCTGAATCCAAAACTTGCTAAGTCACTTGCGAAGTCATGCGGGAAAGAATATCAACAAACAACCCAATCGTTGTAGTTTGGATTGTGTTGTGTGCCCCCTAATTAATAGTATGTAAAAAGCTTATTTATGAAAATAAATAAGCTTTCAATAATATGTTGCGTATTTTTACTGCAATAGCTAGTTTCCTACATGTTGTCGCGCTTAAATGAATACCATCGATGGCTGAACAAGGTTATTGAGCTTGTTGCATTTTGTGGAAAAATCAATTGAAGTTCATTTTGTTAGGCCCCTTGGCCTAAATCCGCTAAGGAATAGCGGGGTTGACTAAATTGAGGATAAACGCGGCAGAAGACTTTGGCGAAAGAGAGTGTTGGCGAAATAGGCGAAGAGGTAACTGAGTAATTGAAGAGTTAAATGAGAGTTGATTGATAATGACAAGTACAAGCAAGGTTGATATAGCATGCAAGATCGAATGTCGGAAAGTACTTCGTGGGACTAGGAATTGAAGGCAAGAAAGGTAGAGTGCCACGTGGCACTAGGAAATCAAGGAAGATAAGGATAAGGGTGAGTTGGAAAGTACTGTTCGGAATGAACAGTAAATCCCCCCTTAACACTACCCCCCTCCCAAGGAGGCGACGTTCGCGGCGCCTGCAGACTGGAGGTACGCTTGGAGGCAAGCGTTGTCGGGAGACAGCGAGGACGAAGGAACCCAGCTGTCGTTTGCTGCGTCGTAACCACGCCAACGAACCAAGAAGTCGATGAAAGGGACACCCCCCTGGAGACGGCGACAGTGCCTGAGGATGCGCTGGATCTGGTAGTCGGGCTCGTCGGTGTCAACAGCTACCGGCAGTGGAGTGCGGTCACGGCCCGAGAAGGTGGCGTTGGGATCGGTGTAAGGAAGAAGAAGCGACACATGGAATGACGGGTGCATGCGGAAATGAGCGGGAAGGCGAAGGCGGTATGCGACTGGACCTAGTGCACGCTCAATGACGAATGGACCAATGAAACGAGGGCGAAGCTTGCTGTCCTGTGGCAGTCGGAGGTTGCGGCTGTCGAGAAGGACACGGTCGCCAACTGAAAACGACACCTCACGACGACTGCGGTTGGTGGTGCGTGCCATGCGTGCATTTGCGAGCTCAAGGTGCTTCCTCACGTGATCGTGAATGAAGGTGAGATGCTGGTGGAAGTTGTCCGCACGAGGGACTGTGGGTGTGAGATCGACACGAGTGGGGACATTGAGGTGCTGACCGTACAGTGCGAAGAACGGTGACATGCCTGTGGACGAGTGGTGCGTGTTGTTGTAGGCGAACTCGGCCATGCTCAGCTTCTTGTCCCATGCGGCTGCGTCATGCATCGTAATGCTGCGAAGAATCTGCTCCAAGGTCTGGTTCACACGCTCGGTCTGTCCGTCTGTCTCTGGATGGTACGCAGACGACATGGCTAAGCGAGTCCCAAACAGTGCGAAAAGCTGCTTCCAGAACTTCAAAGTGAAACGAGGGTCGCGGTCTGAGATGATGGAATCTGGAACCCCGTGCAGTCGGACTACGTTATCTACGAACAGCGTCGCTGCTTCCTCTGCTGTGACCTTGCCGTGCGTGGGGATGAAGTGCGCTGCTCGAGAAAACTTATCCACTACCACGAAGATGGCGTCGTGACCCCTAACTGTGCGCGGTAAAGCCATGATGAAGTCCATGGTAACTACCTGCCAAGGGCGGTCGGGCGGTGGAATCGGCTGCAAGAGTCCTGCTTTGCGCTGGCGAGAGGACTTCGTACGCTGACATGTGTCGCACGAGCGAATGTAATCCTCTACGTCTGCTGCAAGCCCTGGCCAGTAGTACGTGCGACTAAGCGTCTTAGCCGTCTTATCTGCTCCGAAGTGACCTGCACTAACTACGTCGTGCGCCTCTGAGAGAAGAAGCTGTCGAAGAGGGCGGTAGGCTGGAACCCAAATCCGTGTGGTACCCTTCCGTATGTAGACACTACCCTGCACCTCTGCTCCTGCGGGCGGCTGCGGTGTGAAGTCGAGATCTACTGTGTAACCGTGCTCGAAGAGTGCTGTGAGAAGTGGATGGCCGGCAGTGACTGTGAGGCTAGCGAGCTGGCAACTAGGGCGAGTGAGCGGATCTGCTGGGTTGCGCACGCCTGGCTTATACTCGATCCTGTAGTGGAAACTCCCCTCCATGAACTCCATCCATCTAGCCTGGCGACGACTCAGCTGCGGAGCGAAGCGAGCAATGGTCCGTGCGTATCACACTGTCTGCCCCCTCTACGTAGCACCTCCACACCTTATACGCATGGATGATCGCGAGCGCCTCCTTGTCGTGTATGGGATAGTTCAACTCCGCTCCCCTAAGCTTACGCGACTCGTACGCGATCGGCTGCAACCCGCGTCCCTGGTCCTGAAGAAGCACTGCTCCTATGGCCTGATCTGAAGCGTCGGTCACTACAACGTATGGGCGAGTGGGATCAGGGTACGACAGTGTCGGTGAAGACGCGAGCGACTGCTTCATCTGCTCGAACGCCTGCTGCTGCGCTGGACCCCAAACGTACTCTACGCCCTTCCGAAGTAGGTCGGTGAGTGGACTAGCGATCGATGCGTAACCCTGAACGAAACGACGGTAGTAGTTCGCGAAACCGAGGAAGCTCTGTAACTCCTTGACTGAGGTCGGTGCTACCCAATCCTGTACTAGGAACTCGACGTGTCCTAGGAACTCGACCTCAGGAAGAAAGAACTCGCACTTCGACTGCTTAGCGTACAGCTGCTCCCTCCGTAAAACCTCGAAGACCTTCTGCAAGTGCTGCACGTGCTCCTCTTTCGTCTTGGAGAATATGAGAATGTCGTCTAGGTAAACTACAACGAACGAACCTAGGAACTCGGAGAGGACGGTGTTCATGAGCGTTTGAAACGTCGCTGGGGCGTTGGTCAATCCGAACGGTAGAACCCTAAATTCGTACAACCCCTGCTTCGTACGAAACGCCGTCTTGTGCTGGTCCTCTGGAACTACGCGAATCTGATGATAACCCGAACGAAGGTCGATCTTGGAGAAAACTCTAGCGCCCTGCACTGCATCTAGGGGATCCTCTACTCTCGGCACCGGAAACCTATTCTTGACGGTGGTGGCGTTCAGTGCGCGGTAATCTAGGCACATCCGTAAGAGTGCTGTGAGAAGTGGATGGCCAGCAGTGACTGTGAGGCTAGCGAGCTGGCAACTAGGGCGAGTGAGCGGATCTGCTGGGTTGCGCACGCCTGGCTTATACTCGATCCTGTAGTGGAAACTCCCCTCCATGAACTCCATCCATCTAGCCTGGCGACGACTCAGCTGCGGAGCGAAGCGAGCAATGGTCCGTGCGTATCACACTATCTGCCCCCTCTACGTAGCACCTCCACACCTTATACGCATGGATGATCGCGAGCGCCTCCTTGTCGTGTATGGGATAGTTCAACTCCGCTCCCCTAAGCTTACGCGACTCGTACGCGA